GTGAAGTTATAGCAAGTGGTCTTCTAAAATATTCATCCGCAATCTTAATGAAGAGTTCAGTCTTTTTCTTTGATTGCCAAACCTAAGACCACTGTTCTCTCGGAGAGTTGTAGGGTCACTCATGGAACCGAGGTGGCAGCCGTTCACAAACCACCAGTGGGCCAATATCTGCTAACTGATAATGTCGTAGTATGTAGTTTGAGATAAGGAACAAAGAACGTTCTTGGTTTTCGAATGACCTGTTGTGTATGGACTATCTTACCAGTCTATTTATCCGCCCGCCCAAACAAATCATCATCCAAAGAGCATAATAGATGAATTCATTTTATATTCGTCGATCTCATATGTATTTTTCGTTTTTATAAATGATATTTATGCATTTCATACATGTCGGTTCATTCCTGTTATAAGCAATGAGATTCATCTTTGTTTTCATCCACTTTGTGTTGAACTCCTTCCTACTGGAAACACAATCAACATCTTCGAATAGATAGATCCACCTCAAAACTGCTTCTGTTCGTTCTCATGCACAATTTAGTTAAATCGTTTTCAAGCCCAAAGCAAATGGACTATTCGCGGTGCCGCTTAAGATTTTGCCTCAATTCCATTCCTTGTTGAACGTTGAATGAGAATCTCTTAGTTTTCATTAAATTTTCCTCGCAATATTTTAATTTCAGTCATTTTATTGGTATTATTACGCGATAAACTAACAAAAACTTGAAATGTTTTTGAAATCAGCTCTCTCTCTCTCTCTCTCTCATCCCCCCTCTCCCACCTCTCTCTCTCGCACATGAAGCTTTTCCTATTTTGTTAGTTGACGATTACTATAATATATCTTAATTCCATAGATGATGAAGATATATTAAGCGATTTGCATATTCACTTCGAAATTACGTGGATTGCCACGTAGTATACGTGAGAAGTGAAGATAATCCATTTATTCTAAGTGGCTGACGATGAGAGCGGTTGTTTTTTATTTTATTAAACCTTCTTAGACCCTTCGTCTTTTTTTTTTCAAAAGTAGCCCTATATTTTTTGAGAAGAAACATTGTAATTATGGAAGAACTGATGTACTTAGCACAAACCTTCTTTAGTACCCTTATAAATGAGGAATGAGTGGTATTACTTGTTTTCGATTTCTGTCGGCCATTTTTTCAAGAAATAGTGAAGGAGATAGAGAGAGATAGAGTGATTGAGAAAGAGATTGCTTAAGAGAGAGATGGAATGATAGAGACTGTGTAAGAGTAAGAGACGAAGAAAGAGACAGAGATATAGGAAGAGAGAGAAAAGGAAAGTGTTGCTTTCACAAAGTATTTTTCACTCTTATTAAGGAAGATAAATTTAGTATCGGAATTGGAATCTTGCGATAACTTAATGTGAAGTGAATATGCTTTTTCTTCCTGATGAATGGGCACAATTAATGAAAAATCGAATAGTCATTAAGCTTCATGTCGTGACACTCATCTCTATAAATGGAAAAATGAGATTTGTATTAATGTCCATCTTCTGTCCTATCAACACTTCAACATCTTCAAGATGACTTCTCTCTTTTTTTCTTAAATTTATGAATGACTCAGTCGCCATGCCATGTTGATACTTCCTTCTTTGACAAGACAACCTTATGATATATAAAGCTGAGTGGGAAGTTCAAAGACCTCTCACACTAAGCTATGTTTAAATCCTCTTTTTGGACCATGGAACAGCTTTTTTTCTAAAAAATTGATGCCATTCGGAGTATTCTCTCTCATATCCACGTCATGAGATTTGTTCACCTCTTTTGTTCTCTCTCTTTCGGCTGGATGTGGTACACCTTTAACACCCTCGCTCTCATTCGCACTGAAGCTCAATGATCTCAGCATTCATATGTGGACATTCTCGCATTTGTGGTTTCTAGAGAGAGGCCTTGTTATGAAAATGGAAAGTATAACGTACTTCCAGTACCCCTGCTATTAAACCCATTTTACCTTTCTTCATTATCGGTGAGAACATCAAAGATCTCACACTACTTGCGAATTTCTTTCCAAAATCTTGAGAATGTTTGAAGAAACTGCCATGGACAGATGTCTCCTCCAAAATTCCTCCACTAATTTGACCCTAACGTTTTCATTTTGACCGTTGAACTCTTCTAAGCACGGCTTTACCTCAAATGGACCTTTTCTAAACCCTCTTTGATAGCATTATGATAGGGAAGTGAAAAAAGAAGGAAAAAAAGGAAATTTTTTTTATTTTCTTCCTCTTGCATGCACCCGCCGCTGTTCACTTCTGTCGACAATGAAATCATTGTTTTAAAATAACATTTTGTGACTTATTGATGTTTCTATTCTTGAAGAATTGCCACTGCATCTCTCTCAGACACATAGATTTGAAGGTTTAAGACCTCTTTTTGTGCAATTACTTGGTGCCTCTTCAAAGATTCGTTTTTCTACAGAAATTTGACAGGCTCTAGCTGTCTGTGGCTTTACGTCACAACCCAAAAAAGGAAATTCAGTTCGCTTAATAGTTTATATTTTCCCGCAACTTATCTTCTCTTAGGCTAGCTCTTGTTGCATCTCCTTTTAAGTACAAGAACTTTGAAGAGTTGAGCGCGTCATAGCTTCCTCGCTGTTTCCACGTAACAACCTCGTTTTGTTGTTCCATCCTAATTATCCAGAATCTCTCAAAATACTTTGCTATTCAAACTTTCCATTTCTTGCCACATGTCGCATTCTTCATTTATAGAAAACTTTAGAAGTTTTTCTAGTGTTCCGGTGGCCTGAAAATCTCGTCTGAGCTGATTTCCGCTTCCAAGCTGGCTAATTGCTTCCTTCGCTTCTGTTGTATTCTTTCACAAAACTTCAAAACTTCCCACATCATTATTTTAGAGAAAAGTCCAACCTTTATTCCCTTATTCGGACAGACTAACAGAGTTCCTTATTTCCATAAAATTCTCATTCAGTTAAGTCCTGCAAATAGGTTTTATCAGCCAATTGAAGTAATCTGTGTTGAACTTCATTCTCATCCTCTGAGTTTTTGTTCCGCTTTCTCATCCATGAACAGCTAACGGTGAAGAAGCTTCATAAGCTTGACCTTTTGTGTCTGTCTCAAGCTTATCAGAACCATTTGAGAACATTCAATCCATCTCTCTCCACAACGACCAATAAGCCCATCTTAGCTTGTTCAACTTTCAATGTTTTGACTCCTTTAAAGCTTCTTATCAAATGTTTTCTTCTCTCCATTCACGAGCATCAGAACTTCGAATGAATTTTGAAGAAAATAAAAGATTTTCTCTCCTTCAATACGACGACAGATTTCGATTCGATTGAAGGAATGCATTCATTCACCCCCCACAGTTCTTCTATTATTCTTACTTATTTCCTTTTCATTTAACAATTCATATTCTAATCATTTCCGCTATTATAGTTTGTGTTCACAATCTTGCTCGTCGTCTTCATCGCCGTTTTCCATGTCTCCCTCCTCCCTCTGTTCGCCTCCCTCCCATCGCCACCTTCCCTTCAGCTTCTTGACTGTTTTCAATTTTCATTTTGATCTCCCAAACATCGCCAAGTGAATCACGATGGATCACGGTCAACTTACTCTATTCAAAGTCAAAAACTTTGAAATTTTAATAAGCAAACATTCCTCTCAACATATTCAAACATAACATATTTTCATAATATGATGCCTGTTCGTTGGGTAGAGAGTAGGGTAGTGGTTGCGTTGGCAGCTTTACATTAGTGTATTCACCTATCTACCGTATGCAGCTTCTACGCATTATGCTAATGAGAGACGTAACACGTGTTTGCGTCACATTGCAATTTTTCATTTTGCTCATCATCATTCGCATTGACTGGTTGTGTTCACATGATGGTATGAAAGCCGTTCACACTCTCTCAATCTCCGTCTATATTGGTTATTTATTTATTTCTTTTTTTCCTCGGTTTTTTGAGAGCTTGTTTTCCTCTAAATGAGTCCTCCGCAATCCGATCGCTGTTCAGTATGGCTGCTCATCTCCTTTTATGGATTTTGAACTGAGTTCACGCGATGTTACATTATTGTTGTCATTTATGTTGATTTGCTCCGTTTTTTTTTTCCACTCGATTGTTTCACTACGTAATAGGGCATTGTTATTTTTAAAGAATACGAAATGCCACGAAAAATGGATAGAAAACAAACGAGCACATGCGAAAGGATGGGAATAAAGCTTCAGCTATTCGATTATACTTGAAATTCTTTCATTGACGCTTAAATTCTGTTAACTTTTGCTTTTCTAGTATATCTGGGCTGGGTGTGTGTGTGTGAGGGTGTGAGGCTGTATGGATCTATGGATAAGTCTTAAAGCTGGACAAGAAGCCTGTGAATAGTACACTTTCAAATACTTCGTCCAATAGTCGGCCTTAAATGTTTTCTTATTCTGCTCTTTACCAATCAGCCGATTGCGGAAATTGATTCTAGTCGGTCGATAGTGTTGGATGTTTTGACTTGATTCTATTTTTCGATTCCTCATGATCTGGACAATGGCCATTGCCTATATATGTTCACATCGCATGAAGATGTAGCAATAGAAGATGAACAAGTAGATGAAGAAGATATCATGAATCACACGATGCTTTGCAAATTTTATTTTCACGCTATCTCTAATGCGCAAACGCCATATTAAGCTCGAACAGAGTTGAGTTGATTCCTTCTAGTCATCTCCTTTCATCCCATTTTGTCATTTTTCTGTTTCATGTGCCTCATCTGATGACCAACTATCGATTGCTAATTCAATTAAAAATTTGTGATTTATACGATGAAAAAAGTGCATACTAGATATATTATGGGGTGTGGTGTATGCTTTTCCATCCTATCTGCTTTCGCTTCTCCTCAAATATCCCTTCCTAACTTTGTAGTTGGCAGGCCAAATGAGTGCTTCTTAGTTGCAACACAGCTATTCCCAGGTTAGCTGCGTTTTCTCACCATAACCCCCTCAAGCTACACAATACATGTAAGACTGTTTAGAAAGAGAGAGAGAGAGAGAGAGAGAGAGAGAAGGATAGAGAAAGAGAGAGAGAAAAGAATGAATTTTAGAAGAAAATATGTCCTTGAGGTGGGTGCTGGATAAACGCAGACTTCTAAACTCAAAGAAGCTCTTATCCCCATTTCGCGGAGCGAGCACATTCCAACTCTTTAAGATTTTAAAACCAACTTTGAAGCATTTGCTTGTGGCCTCATTAGCTTCAACTATTTGATGACGACATATACTTGTCTCCCGTTTTTTTTCTTCAAATCATAATAGTTTGTGATCTCAACTTTTAGTCGGTGCCCAGAGAGAGGGCGGTAGCTTCGGCCGATGTTTTTCAGCTTTTTTCATAAGCTGTTAGTTTTCTTTTCATTTCAGACCTCATCAATTCATTTTCATTCAATTTTCTTTTTCTAACTCTGCTCTAGACAACCCATAGCCTATGATCATCTCGTTTATATTCTCTCTGGTTCATTTTCCTTTTCTCCTCTCATTCTCGTCGTTCTGATTCTTCACAGCTCTCTGCTCAATCTTTTAAACAAGTGTCATCATCTTATGAACGTACTTTTTATTCAAATATTTTAAAGGATATGTATATCAACGATCTGCTGCTGAGTTAGGAAATGCTGTTAGGCTTCTCCCTGTTTCTTCTGCTTTACAGGTATAACTAGCAGATTCTCACTTTAGTTGAAGCTTCTGCCTCACCTGCATACATCACATACTCGTCGTAGAGCTCACTTTAGGAGAATCACATCGCTTATCATAACCACCTTATCTTTTCTATAGATTTTCAACACTCAGGTTGATTCAATGCTCACGTAGCGAACCTATCCCTCTATATATGGACGAATTGCTGGATGCTGGAAGACGAGTGTATGACAACCAATCTCCCCCCATACAAGATGACGAAGGTTAGTACAGATTTTCGCCTTTTCCTCTTGCTTCCTTGTTTTTATCTCATTTTTTTGTTTCCTTTGTATAGATCGCGTGCTGAAATTTTCCTTTGATATAAAAAACTGCTTGTCAATCATCTATGCCTCACGAATATAGAAGTGGAATTGCCTTTTTTGAGTATCTCGGCTATTTTTGATGCCGTCAGATTCTAAACGACCTAATGTAAGATTGGGGTTGTTGTACATGCGAGCCTTTGCTCCTGATGTTCTTGACTTCATAGGTGCTTGTTGAACTAGGATATAGAAAACGATCTAAGCTTTAATGAAAGTCTCTAACGTTTAATTATATACCGAGAGGATATGCAGTCTCATTGCATTCATCTTATTCTTCTATTCTTACGAATCTCATTTCGCCTCATTATATCTTAGATCAACATGAGCGAATCATAGGCAGCACTCTGCTGGCCTCCGAGCAATTCAAAAGATGAGAGATGACAAAGCATGACTAGGCATATGATATGTTGAAGAAGTTATCAGGTTTAGTGAACAATCCATCCATTTCGTTCTCTAAATGAAGTTAAAGCTGAAGCTGCTTCTTTCACCCTAGCATTGACCCAGCGAATCGGACAAAAAACTCCTTTTGAAGAGCTTCTCAACCTAATATGGTTATTGAAAGATTGTTCATCATACTCTTTAACGTGTTTGACATCAGCACTTGAGTATAATGTATGAACCTTGTGAGCTCTGACCATTCACACGTGAGCTTAGATATATCTTGTGAGAATCTCATCTCATCTCATCTCATTTATCTACTTGAAAACTGGAGCCTTACTATCCGACATGCAAAACACTTTTTTGATTAATTCGAGGACATTTGAATATACGATTAACATCCAACAACTACAAGTGTTGGAAGACCACCCGCTTATATACGAAGTCTAATTAATCATTAATAGATCTGAAATGAAGAGCAACATAATGGGGTTCTGAGAATTTCTTTAGTTCTACCGCAAGTTCTCCTTACTTCATAACTTTCGACTGAATATTCTATTCAATTGAAATTGTTGTCTCGTTCCAATAGCTTTTTCTAAAGAAAAGGTAAACTCAATTCTTTTCAGACAAAGTCACTAAGGTGAAGCTAGCTATGTACATTGAAGGAATGTCTTCTTTCCGCACCCAAACTATGGTTTATTTGAAGCTTTTCATTTCCTTCACCTCAACTCTCACTTATAGGACTTTCAACTTGATGTTTACTTTCAACAGTTTTGGAAAGACCCACGTTTAGCACACAACGAAACAAGGTAATACTGGAAGAAAGAGAAAGCAACCGCCCTGTGCGTACTATTGGCAAAGAATGGTTTGGCATGCAGCCAATCCACGTGAAGTCTCTACGTGAAGCTTTCCGATTCATATTTTTGGCGCGAAAAACTTCCGATGTACTTCATCAATGGCAGTATTTGAATCGAAACATCCAAATTCTAAACAATGACCGAATAGCTGACTCAAACGTATAATCATTGCTTTCAGACGCATATTAATAAGGGATAAAAAGATTTTGCATAAGATGTGGCACCCTGATGTTTATTTTGCGAATGCTCGAACGGCCGAGTTCCATGAGGTTCACAACCAATATTTCTGAAATTAAAATAAAAACTGAACCTTGAAGGTTACACAACCAAATTTCTTAGTTTGGATTGAGCCTGATGGCTCAATTCTCTTTGATACCAGGATCTCAATGGTTGTTGTTTGCACTTTAAACTTGGAAAAATGGCCCCTGGACTCTCAACGCTGTGAACTTCGAATACTAAGCTGTTAGAGATGATGATTGAAAGAAAAATATATTTTGAAAATACTCTCAGATGCATATACGACTTCTCAATTGATAATTGAATGGATCGAAGATACTCCTATCACGAGAAATCCGGGCATAGCAATGTCCGATATGCATATTGTAGACTTATATCCGGGAACCTGTGATGGTAACTACTCCACAGGTTACTATATAAGGATCGTGATAGTCACTAACCTACATAACTTCAGGAACATGGAGCTGTGTGACAGCTCAATTTTATGTAAAGAGAGAGATAACTCATCATGTGATGCAATCATACGTACCTACTACTTTAATTGTTGTGATATCATGGTTTTCGATTTATGAAAAGTACATCTCGTAATGCTATTGTTAAGGTTTTCCTTCTGGCTGGATGTGGAAGCTGTACCAGCACGGGTTTCATTAGCTATAACAACTTTACTCACTTTATCAACTCAATCGAATGCTGCTAGAATGGCCTTACCAGAGGTGATTATTCTTCAAAAACAAGCTTGTTCAGAATTCTCTTTAGGTTTCATATATGAAAGCGATTGATGTCTGGATGGGAGCATGCATGATGTGAGTTGTTGAAGTTGATCCTTGAGATTGAGTTTGTTTTGCATTGCAGGTTCGTCTTTGGAGTTATGATTGAGTTTACTATAGTGAATTATGCTCAAAGACAAGGTTCGTTCAAAACAGTTTTGAGTCTTTCCATGCCAGTAGTCGCTTCGAATGTTTTAATGCCAGGATTGAACACAGTTCTTCTAAAAATTTTTAAAAAGGAAATTTACATTTTTAACCAGAAAGCATCAAATTACACTCAATTTCCTCATTTCGTTTTTTGTGCACATTAATAAGTCCCTTATTTGGATTATAGGAAGTAGGAAGAAGTCAAACCTAAGGGAACCTAAGGGTATGTGTTGCACAAACTGTTCCTTTCTATCGTTTGCAACTATTAACTTCATTTTTTGTGTCTTTCCGTTTGGAGGTTATTGGAGTTTGTGTTTTGTTCTCCGTAACGTTCACTCATCAGAATCTTTGACATCCATTCTCCCTCTCCCCCCATCCTCATCTTTTCATCTCAACTTATCCATCCCCCCCAATACACCACTTCACTACACCTCACACACACCCTGATTTCATTATGGCACACGTGTGTCACTTATTTTGTAAATATTTCTTTTTTCTTTTTTTCTATCTCTACCATCTATAGGTCGGAAATGGCATCGATCAGACGCAGAAATAGGTTTGTTAAGAAACATTATTAATACCTTATACGGGGATTCATGGGATCAGTTAGTATTACGAGAGATACTATTTCATTTTGAGATGTATTTCGAGATGCATTGATGAGTGTATTAACTGATCTACTGGAACTTCAGACTCCATGATACATGTATACGTGTGTGTTCGTTCAAAGTAACAGCTGGAATCCTTCCCTTCTGTTTAACGAGCTTCTTCTGCTTCATGCAGCTTCATCTTCTACCTCTACTTCACCTATCATTTCTTTTCAGTTAACCACTTCTAACCCTCTAGCCCTATCATATTATTTATGTGTTCTAGCATGCTCTAACCTGAATATAGCACGTTTGACTGATTTGATCATTATTATGTTATTCGCTGTTCATGTCCGCATGTCCCAATGAACCAAATGTTCTCACCGAATAATTCTTTTTTTGTTTTTTCAATCAAAATTTTAGTCAGTAGAGGTACACGTGGCTGCAGCCTGTCTTACCTAACCTCTGTATAGCCTCAAACTTCCCAATATAAACTGTTTTAGTGATGGCTTCATCATTGGAATCTGTGGCAGAGAAGAAACGAAGCGAACAGCTCAGTCATCGAGCTCGAGATATCATAGATCGCTTGAAAGGGAAAGACCATCAACAACTGGTAGAGGTTAGCCTTTGATAAGTACATTGTAACTTTGAGCACTCTTCTCATAAGGAGTACGATGTAAAATAAAGCACATGCATGCAAAGTTCTTTGTTAGAGCCTTCGATCTCTCTCTAATTCTCTCTCTCGCTCTTACTGTCTCTTAACCTCTCTCTTTCTCTCTTCTTATCATCTACCTCTCTATCTCTCTCTCTCTGAGTTATTGAAAATATCTGATCTCTTGTCGAAATCAGGGAAAAGAATTGTTCTTCTTTAGGATGAATGCATAAGGCTTAATGGGATTCCATTCGACACTATTAGTAATGCGTACAGTAATTCATACTCAGATGATGAGCAAAATCCCCATCAGACAAGCCAAAGGAGAAAAGTGACGGTGAGCAATGTCTCCTGAATTGTGGCTAACCGTTGTTTGTTCAAAATGATTGCAATATTATAACTTTCGTCTTCCCAACCTGACTGACATCCCCATTGATATAGTTTTGAACGGATTGTTTATGGAAAGAATCATTTGCATTGCATCTAAACATATTTTGTTTATGTTGAAAGTTTACTAATATTCCAACCTATCAGTTTATGAGTTCTTACTAGATGAGCATGATTTTCTTCTTTTTATTTTCTGTTTTTCTTTGTTTCACATTTGCTCGCTCGTTGGTCTTTAGCATGAGACTTAAGTGCATGCGTGGATTTGAACAAGAGTTCTATAGTTCTCAAATATGATTGGACTTTTTCCAGGTTGTTTCCGACACCGGAGATATTCCGAAAATTGAAATTTGGAGAAACAAAGAAGCTGAAACAGCAGAAAGACTAGCAAATTGGGCAACATTCGATGAAAGACCCTCATCTGCCAAGCATCGAGGTAGCGTCTGGAGTCGATTGATTCCCAATGGTCAAGATAAATGTGAATATATAAGATGAAACAGAGTAACAGTATTCATACTGTGTTTACAGCTCCTACACATTCCAATTATGGAAGCACAACGCGATCACAGAATGGAGAAGTGAGGCCGGATAAATGGTCATCGGCTATAAAGCAGATCCAAAAACACAAGTCAGTAGTTTATCGAATAACATGAGAGAACATGGTCTTTGCCTCTTTCTTACTGTCATATTTATTTCATATATTTATACTTGTATGTAAGATATGAATATTCTTTTATTCGTTTTAGGCCTAGGAGGAGTTCTATATGGTATTCACTCAAGTGATTAAGTTTCTTTGCTTGAACCTTTTCCAAGAGTTCATTGAGACTCTGTTGCTCCACCTTTCATTTGTTTTGCTTTTTTCGAAACTGTTTGGTTTTTGCTTTACCATGGATGCAACAGTGGCTATTTCGCTTCTATTTTTAACCGATTTTTCTCAAAACCTTACCTTGCCTGCTAAGATTTCATAACCATCTGCTGTGATCACTGATCATTTCAAACACTCTAACCCCTAACTTGGTTTAAGATTTTCCTTTCCATTAACCCCCCTAACACCTTTAACAAATTACTTTTAGGAAAATGGCTGGCAGAAACAGAGCCAAACGGATTGATCAGAAGAGTCGCTGGATGTTTCCATTAACGTTTATAATCTTCAACATCACATACTGGTTCTACTACTTGATCTGGAAAGAATGAAACTCATTCTTCCGTCCAAGATTTTCTCATTTCTTGTTTTCGAGAACGTTTTTCAATTTGTATAAACATTTAACTTTTTTCTCAGGTTTGTAACATGCTGACTCCCAATATTATTCAGTTTAGTGTGAACTTGTTTATATCAGACTTTCTCATTTGCTTGCTTTGCCACTCATAACTCTTTGTGACAATCGTCTTAAACCCTTTACCTCTTTCTAATAATTCACAAATCATACTCCTTATATGGAAGCTGGAACGTACTTTATTCACAAGTTATAAATACCCGTCGTTTTTCGTTAATGCTAAGTACAGTTTACAATGGAGTGATAACTAATGTGTAAAAATAAATTTTCAAATGTAATCGATAATCATACAGACCATACGATACAAGCTTACTCGAAAAATTGAAGATATACTTGTCCGAAGACAAATACAACCGTTTCGCAGCTGCACAAAATGAGAAATGAAGTGAAACGTGGCAGATACGTCAAATATGCATGGGGAGAGAGCAGCTCAAATTGAGGGCTAACAAAGCCTGATTAATCAATGTTGCCCTGATAGCACAGTTGCGGATCTCCTCTACTTATTAGTATCAACTGTACTTTCTGTTCGTTTTGAAACAGTTGCTCTGTGAATGTGCAAATATTATCAACCTCTTTGGGTACAGGCAGGAAAGAGTCCATGTTCATAAAGCTGAATGATTTGTAAATTGCTTGACTGTATAGCAAGTTATTACCTCCCATCTTCTACCTTCAATACTGTGAACCAATGACGGCCAGGCCAACAAGGTATCCGGCCAGATGGAACATTGAAAATCATGGCATCAACAGCATCAAGGTTAATATCACTGATGGGTCGTCGACTATCAAACCAAACCATCTATAAAAAGTATTTACGTTCCAATTAATAATGTATGTTAGCTCTGAGGAGAGAGAGAGAGAGAGAGATTAGAAAGAGCAAACGAATTTGTTAACCCTTTCGGAAAAGAGGTGCAAACATACGTGTAGGTCACATTTGTCTAAAGCAACCATTAACACATTAACGTCATAATTCCCAAGTCCGAGGATGGATCTGAAAAAGAAATGAAAATTCATTAATCACAACCATAATGTTCACTTATGAGGGTTGAACCATCTGTTCTCATTAAGGCTATAACAAATTCTGTCTAAATCCTTCGATGTGAATTCTTTGCGTTGAAGAAGCGAATTCAGAGCATGGACAAGACACATCTGCTTCACTTGGCGCTCATGATGGAGTTCGACTGGCATTTCGTCTAATCGAATCAATTCCATGAACAGAATCATGCATCATGATATACTAAAGTATTTTGTTTTGTTGCAAACAGATAAAGTAGACGAAGTTATATGATTGACATCAACTTTATTGTATTGCACGAGCTAATGGCTCAAATCATCAATAAATTATTAAACTTCCGCTTAGAAGTCCTAAATTGAAATAACAGAAACACGTAATAGAAATAAAGAGAGAAGAGCACAGTTAATCATAACAACCTAGTACTAGAAATTTAAAAAAAGACCGCGTTTCAATAGGAGATAGGCCGCTTAATGGACGGCTAACCAGCCTGAGGATGACGAAAGGTAAGGCCGGGGGATGGAAAGAAAACAGGCAAATGCCGAAATATGAAAATTAAAATAAATTATAATTTAGAGCTCGTCTTTCTCGTCAGCTCCTTCGGCTCCTGCGCCTTCTTCTCCTGTTGGGGCACCTCCGTCTTTGTAAAGCTTGCTGATGATGGGTTGGACCTTTCCTTCGAGATCCTTCTTTTGTTCTTTGAGATCTTCGACTGAAGCTTCGCGGTTGCTGTCGAGCCAGCTAATAGCCTCATCGACGGCTTCTTCGATAGTCTTCTTGTCATCATCATCAAGCTTTCCTCCGAGCTTCTCCTTATCATCGATTTGGTTCTTCAGGGAGTAGGCGTATGATTCGAGTTCGTTACGAGCTTCAACCTAGAATGAATGAGATTGAAAAAAGAATTCTTTGTAATATTCTAACCTGCTCCTTGACCTTCTTGTCATCTTCAGCGTATTTCTCGGCATCATTGATCATGCGCTCAATATCTTCTGGGCTGAGTCTGTTTTGGTCATTGGTAATGGTGATCTTATTCTTGTTTCCAGTTCCCTTATCTTCAGCGGTTACGTGAAGGATACCGTTGACATCAATTTCGAAAGTAACCTGGAAATAGTTAATTTAATTCAGAACTTCCTCTGGAAAAGCTCACCTCAATTTGAGGAACTCCACGAGGGGCTGGTGGGATTCCGGTAAGATCGAATTTTCCTAGTTGATGGTTATCTTTGGTCATAGGTCTTTCTCCTTCGAAGACCTGAAAAGAAAATTGTGAATAGATGTTATTGGCAAGGTCATTTAGCAAATTATAATCTCAATTAAACGGATACTTAAGTAGTTTTTCGAAAATAGGAAATAGGTCATACCTGAATTGTGACTGTTGGCTGGTTATCAGCGGCAGTAGAGAAGACTTGAGACTTCTTGGTTGGGATGACGGTGTTACGGGTGATAAGTTTGGTCATGACTCCTCCGACAGTCTCGATACCCATGGTAAGTGGGTTGACATCAAGAAGAACGATGTCTCCAGTATCGTCTTCACCAGAGATAACTCCAGCTTGAACAGCAGCTCCGTAAGCAACAGCCTCATCGGGGTTGATTCCACGAGATGGTTCCTTTCCGTTGAAGAAGTCCTTGATGAGTTGTTGGATCTTGGGGATTCTGGTGGATCCTCCGACGAGAACGATTTCGTGAACGTCATCCTTCTTCAAATCGGAATCTTCAAGAACCTTTTGGACTGGCTTAAGAGTAGCACGGAAAAGATCCATGTTAAGTTCTTCGAACTTGGCTCTGGTGAGAGTCTCAGAGAAATCTTCTCCATCGAAGAGTGATTCAACTTCAACCTTGACTTGATGTTGGGTAGACAAAACTCTCTTGGCCTTCTCAACTTCACGACGGAGCTTCTGGACGGCTCTGTTGTCTTTGCGGATATCTTTTCCGGCCTTCTTCTTGTAAAGCTTGATGAAGTATTCCATGACACGTTGATCGAAATCTTCTCCTCCAAGATGGGTATCTCCATTGGTGGCCAATACTTCGAAGACTCCATTGTCGATAGTGAGCATAGAAACATCGAAAGTACCACCTCCAAGATCGAAGACGAGGATGTTGCGTTCTCCTGCAAAATTATATATTAATAGAAGTTCCGCATATTTCTCTCATTTGTTCACTAATCATCCGAGGGATCTGATTGATGCCGCGCGTATTCCGCCGTACCTGTCACTGACCGGAGCACATTTTTTGTTTACTCAGTCAATGACGGTAGAATAAACATTGGCGTGGCCAATAGACTCAACTCGGACCCATATGGATTGAAAGGGCACATACCATCCTTCTTGTCGAGTCCATAGGCAATAGCGGCGGCAGTTGGTTCGTTGATGATACGGACAACATTGAGACCGGCGATAGTTCCAGCATCCTTGGTGGCTTGACGTTGGGCATCATTGAAATAAGCTGGGACGGTGACTACGGCGTTCTTGACCTGGAACAAATATTTGAATTAATGTTATACAGGAAGGTTTTGCTTACTTCCTTTCCGAGGTATGACTCAGCAATTTCTTTCATCTTAACGAGGACCATAGCGGAGATTTCTTCTGGGGTGAAAGTCTTGTCATCCTTTCCAACCTTCAATTGAACAGTGGGCTTGTTAGCCTTGTCAAGAACTTTGAAGGGCCAGAGCTTGATATCGTCTTGAACAGTCTTGTCAGTGAAGTCACGTCCAATAAGACGCTTGGCATCGAATACTGTGTTTTCAGGGTTAATTGTAAGTTGATTCTTGGCGGAATCTCCGATAAGACGCTCTCCGTTTTCCCCGGTGAAGGCGACGTATGATGGAGTGATACGGTTTCCTAAAAATATTAAATCATTAGAAGAATAGAGGATATAAGTATATACCTTGGTCGTTGGCGATAATTTCTACACGTCCGTTCTTGAAAACTCCGACACAGGAGTATGTGGTTCCGAGATCAATACCAATAATAGTTCCATACTTTTCCTTCTTGTCTTGTTCATCATCACAGTGAACGCTGACGGCGTAGAGGGCCACAAGACCCAATAAGAATAAAGTCTTCATTATATTAGTTGGTCTAACACAGTAGTTCACTGAAATCGATTACAATTAGTTGAGGCTGAGAAGGCATAGAATGTACAAGTTTATAAAAAGGCAGCAATGAATTAAGAGATAGAACAAAAAATCTGGACGAAAATTGAATTCAACCAATTGTTGGGCGGATCGCACAACCGACTGTTCTCGAAGGGGAGCAGAAAGGACGACTGAGGGCCACGTGTACACAGACGTGTCGCAGACCAATGCCTCGTCAGCATAAGAGTGACTCTGGCTGTCTGCTCCGCCCAAACTACTTCCTCTGCGTCTCTCGCATGAGAAAGAGAAATTTGTAACCTAGATAGAGGGAATACAACTCTTATAAACTATCTTAACTATATGTCAGAGGTATTATATTCGCAGGAATGTTTGCTAGACCTAGAAAGTATTTAAGCTAATTATCTTAATAGCGTTATAGAGTATTGTGGAAGCAAATCGGTTCAAATTTGAAAATTATTTTGAGGACGAACGCATAACGCCGCGATCTGTTCATGGCTAAGGGGGAGGAGGAAAAGCGAAATGTTAGAAGGCGAGTTAGTTCCTGGGTGTATTGGGACAATATTCCTCTTGAACAATCTTATCCTATATACTATACTACGCCAGTTGAGAACTAGTGAACATGACCTGATTTGTGTAACGAAAAAAGGTTGAAAAGTGATGAAACATCCTCTTCACCAAAATGAAATACGAAAATTTTGCTAAAAGTTGGGAATCTGTCAGTTGAAAATGAAAAACATCAATAATCTAATGGTGAAGAGTGCACAGAATGTGGTCGTTAGTTGCTGAGGGGGGTAGTCAGGTTTGGAGAATTTATATTTATAAATAGCAACAAGAGGCATGGTTAGTGTGATTTCAGGTGAAAACGAATAGAAATGAAAGTTTAGATATTGGTGATCAGCTGGGACTATCCTTATATATATCTGAGAGCAAGTAGGCGGTAGCTGAATGAAGAACTGCTATTGGTTGATCGCGCGTTATGCTGACGTAGCCTTAGCCATGAACGGGAGGTAGATGTGATGTTTACGCGTTTTGAGGACGGCCGGGAGGAAATAGTCGTGCTTTTTCAATTATTTGTCATTCTTTTGAAACATTGTCTTACATATGCTGACGTTGATTAACATAGTGAACGTAGCCGATTAACCAGAATCCGTCTGATGAAAGTCAAGATGAGCTTGTGCAACGTGTACATGTGCAAGCCTACGTGGATACGTATGCTAATTAATTTTTTAAACGCTTCTAGAATGTTCCATCGAAATGAAAACATAGGATAGTTTAGATTTTCAGATAGATCATCATGTTATGCCATTGGATGCTATATGTTGACCTGAAATCAAGAAGTTTGTCTCTCAAGGTTAAGGATTGTAGAAAGGTCATGTAGGATTACATATCATGTCTACATGAAGATGAGTCTGATTGTTGTATTTCCATAGTATTACATTGAAGTTCAAATGCATTAACCTTTTAATGAGATTGATCGTTCCTTCTGCTGTAGTTCAATACTATATGACGAGCTGTATACTCTCCTCCAGGATGAAGAAGTGTCGTCATATAAGGATTATCAGTTATCAGTTTGAAACTTGATGTAATAATTAGTACAATTCTACTGATAACACGATGGCACAAAGATCTAGAAAGGTCCAGAATGTTCTATTACTTTTCGTATAAAAAAGCAATGATTAGAGAGAGTGCGAGAGAGTGTGCGAGAGTGAGAGAGGGGTGATAAAGGTCACGGAAATCCTCGAAATTCTTCGTAAAAAGCGGAACAACAGGTGCTCGGACAACATAACTCGTTGTTTGTTCTCATCGTTAGAATATGCTATTCATCTATTCCTTTTCACAATTGTTCCGTCTTCTTGTTCATAAAGTATTTGGCCGCTGACCGTTTTGTAGTTCGACGGGCTGCATGTTGTTTTACGCCAATGAAACAGCACGTTCATGATATTGAACGACGAGAGAGCTGAGTGCAATGATTCGTCAATGATTTTTTGTAAAAATTCATCTCCAATCCACTATCAATATACAACACCATTCTGTTGGCAGCACATCATGAATAGAAACTCTTTGGGGGTAATCACTGACTGATATGATTGCAATGATAATATAGAATTGGGGGCTCAACACACTGAACTTACCTTTTTCGGAATAATTGTAAAACACAGCGGAACCAACCGATTTCATTTCTATCTCATCAGAGAATGAACGCAATCAAGTTGACGCCGGCTCGTCACGTGAAACGCCCAAACCCACCTGATAGTACCTATTCCGGAACAGAAGAAAGTGATGTAAAAGTATTTGGAAAAAAACATTTCCTAATTCCCTTCATTTGAAAATATCTCGACGTCCTCAAGACCTTCAGTACTGGTCTATCCGTTGTTTTACCTTAATTACCGGGTTCTAAGCTGCACCTGGCCTAGTATTGCAGGCTCGTGAATCAGGCTGCCGATGTCCGTGACGGCTGTTCTCTGCATGGTCATTTGAATTCACGTTTGCTTCTTGAAGAGCTAATCCAATTAGGTGATGATGAAGTTGAAGAGAATAAGCTGCCTGATTCCTCAAACGACAAAGGAAAAGAGCAGATCGTGAGTCTACAGGAAGTAACCATGTAAACCGTTTACCGTTGCATACCCAATTATGGTACTAATAAATAGTTTGTATGTAAATTGAAGGTTTCAAACTGTGTGTGACCATACTTACATCTGAAGGACATTGGATGAAACATAAAAAGTGTGAAAAAGAGAAATTTGCCATTCCAATTTATGGAATATAGGTAGTTCGAAGCTATAGAGAAGATAATAGACGTCGTAATTACGAACATCTGCTGGCAATCAGAAACCCAGCAGCTTCATGTAATCAGAACATCAAAGAGAAAGACATCGAATCATAGGATCATACCTCCCTAAATAAGGAAATTGTGATCCGTAGATTAAGACTCAATCAGAGGCTTTTGTATTTCTCATAGATCCAAGCCTCATTTCCGTTTTTCAATGAACATATGTTCTATAAACTCATAAAATTGTGCTTTTTCTTATTTCTCAGAGGAAAACTATTAAATATCTGTGAAATTTTTGAATTACGCCTAAGACGAATGGGTATGACCCCTCAATTGGCTTTTCGCATTAAGCCTATGCCTGGAAGAAAGGTTATTGATGAGATTCGGTCCCACAGGTGAAAATGTCGATCAGAGCTTTCCAAACAGCCATGAGCCAGATAGAATCTAAATAACGATATAGAGTACAGCTTGATGATGTTGTTATTGTTGCAACAGAAGGCTGATACTAATAACCACAGGCAAGAGCTCGGTATTTCCGCGCACCGAGACACTTCAGATTTATAAGGCAATTCTTGACCTTCAATTAACTCAACGCATAATATTAATCCAAAAAGTCATTGTATCAGCGATATGGTGCTCTTATAGTGGTTTAATACGAATACTTATTTTTATGTTAATAACAAATTTCATAAATCTCTTGTACATTCTACAGTAACCTGCACCTGTCCCGCCCTTCAGGATAAAACATGGAAGCCACGCCTTATCCAAAACAGTCAGAGCTCATACATATCTCTGAGTATGCTTACACCTGAGCAGGAGCACATAACCATTCCTGAATCTCAGTATTCTTACTTCTAACAGTATCTCATATGAAATCCCTTGCGTGTTGTTACATACTATTTCAATTCGTATATCTGTCTAATGGACAGCCGTACTGTACCTCAGGAATGTCTTAGCTAGAGTGTTCCCTACAGCTCCAGCTTTTCTTTTATGCAAATATAGCTAATTTTCCCTAATTACTGCCATTACAAGTCTATTTGATTGGCTATCTGTTGAAGAAGTGACTGTTGAATGTTTATTGTGTCTTTCTTTTCCGGAGAACCAGCTTTGCTTAAATGGTCTTTTCAGTTCCACCTGTTATTGTCTTTACCTTTATCTCAACAGCTGACGAGACAGCACGTGAAATGAAGAGAAAGAGATAGAATAAGAAAAAGGGAATGACAGACAGCCAGCATGCAGCTGCTTCCTTTGCCTATTTCCGGTCATTCTCGAACCTTGCCCAGTTACCTGACGTATGGTCAGGCTACATGGCATTTGTCTCCCAAGGTTTGAGGCTGCGCGTCAGCACAAATCTCATTTTCACTTTCACTAGTTGATGAGCGGTTGTGGGTTCTAGTAATTCAGTTTGAAGTTATGCTATAATGAGCAGTTGTGCCTTTCATTTTCATTTTCTGAAACTTTCGTTCTTATTGTTGATGAGTGGGATTACAGTTCGTCCTTACTATTCTCTAGCTATACGTGATTTCAATATATCTATGTAGTACAGGTTCGTTCTCATTCACTACATGAGTGGGTTTGTGATATTGCTTCCTGAATATCTTCATAATCCGCTTAAGGACGACCCTCATGTGTCTACGGCACTACTCTCGAATTATTCATTTCAACCTTATTTTCTTTTTAGTTATTCACATTTTCCGGTAAAGCATGCAATCATTCATCTTTCATTATGATATCCTCTCCATATTTTCGCCAATGGCGGTCAGCCCTTTAGAGCAACTAGAATATTCATGTTGTCTGTAATAAAGACGACCCTAAAAGGGCTGACACCTGTCCTCTCTTTTAAGGATATTTTTATTTTCCCGCTTATATTGCTTTGCTTTTCCCTTCACATTATCCGCTTCTCATTTCTACCTGCCAACAAGGTGTTCACTGTTTCAGAGAAATTTGTGAAACCTGACCAAGAATCTCCATGCTCTTTATACTCTTCCTATTAGCACTCTGTGCGGCTCAGTCATCAGCTGATGGCTTCGGTAATGAACACTGACGCTTGTAAACAAATTAATTTCGTTTGTTTTCAGTTGAAGAAGTAATATGCTCCGCACAAAGCTTAACTGTCATGCTTAACCGTAGTGATCCCGACGTAGCTCGATGGGTTGCCGATCCAAAATCCCAGCCAGTGGTTTGTCAAAACAATTATGTATACAAACTAGTTTCTTACTTTAGGTGTATGTGTATGATCACAAGAAAAGAAGGGAATGTGGAAACTCAATGAGAAACGAGCATGGTCAACTGAACTTCAACTTGACCATTCCATATGGAACAGACTGTGATGTCATATTAGCTGATGTGGTAAGTATTTTGATAGAATATGGTTATACTGATGAACATTGAAGGAGCCCAACTATAGAACAGCGGAAACAACCATCGCCTTGGAGGATAACGTGGATGTGTCTATCAGCAAGACCCTTCGAATCAACCATGTCTTCTGTATTTACACCAGAAACGTTAAAACAATTCGATTCAACGATGTTTCCAAGTACTTGAATTTCTCACAAAACTCATTTAATGATCTCGTTATAGTGGACATGAAGTAGTTGCTTCTACCGGAGGAAAGCCAAAACCACGGGTTGAAATGGTTTTCAGAAGCACAGATGGACGACCTCTTCGAGCAGCGAAATTCGGAGATACTGTAGAATTCTATATAGCTCTGTCACCTGATCGTAATAACTAATTTCAATCGTTCTCGGAATACAATCTCGATTTACAGAAGCTTATCATGGTATTGCTCCAAAGGAGTGTATGTTCAGTGATCGAGAAGACGTTACATCCCCAGAAGCTAAGCATATCACCTTTGTGCAGAATAGGTATGAGATGCTGAGAAAGGGATAGGTTGTAATTTTAAATTATTCAGTTGTCCAGTCGTAGAGATGTCTGAGATTATTGATCCTTTGGCAAACGTGAACCAAGAAGTTTACTTTTCGAAATTTAAAACTTTCCGTTTCGGAAACCAAAGTACAGTTTTTGCACATTGCACTGTACAAGTGTGTTTGGATGCTAAGGAGTGCAATCAGGTATAGGAATCAAACTACATACAGACAATACACAATACTCTTTACAGAACTGTTTCAAGCGAATTCAAAACTCTAATCTCACGGCTGAAAGACTTCGCTTCCGTCATAAACGTGATATCCCTTCCACCGCTGGATCTATGAAAGATGACTTATACAATGAAATCGCTGTTACTAGAACTTTGACTATTCTGGATAATGAAGAGACAAGAGAAGGTGAGTCTATCATCTTTCATTTTCCGTTTTCAAGTCGAAATGTATTTGTAGTTGCATCACGTTCAACCGAACAATGTGTGGCAGCTAATGCTGTCACACCAACGGTCATATTCCTCATAATTGGAGCTCTAACTGTATGCACTCTGGCATCCATTACAACCGCTGTTTACCTAGGATGTAAACGGAAAACAGGAAAAAAAGTGAGTTTTTTGAAAAATGACCAATCAAGTCGAGCGTTGGAAAAAAACAATCGTTCTTATCGTTCAACAAGTTCAAAATGAATCATTATATCCAGCTGTTGTCACGTGGCTCACGTGACTCACGTGGGAGAAAAGTGAAGAATAATTTAAATTTATGATATTTCCAGAATTCGTTTGACTTGTATTCGGCGTTCGCTGCTCCTACAGCATGATTATTTGAAATTTGTAAAAAATTTATTGTTTATTTATTTATTTATTTATTTAATAAATATATTTCCTTAACAAACTGTAAACATCTATATCTATCTATCTGTGTGTGAGTGTGTGTGTGTGTGTCTGCCTAGGGTGTAGACTAAGACACATTAAGTTGAGTATACTCCTTCTTAAGAAGGATTATACTTGACTATAAATGAGTTTCTTTTCCTGTTTTCGCTTGATCATCTTCACAACTTGTGTCGTCTTCTCTCTCATTCAGATGTTTTTCATGAAACAAAATATTAAAATTTCTTTGTGACCTCTGTATGTTTTGGACGAAACAAAAAATATATTTCCAGCAAATTTCGTTTTTATCTTTTTGTTATATCGTTGGGTGGAAAGAGGGGGGGGGGAAGGTTGTGTTGTGTCGCAAAACTTCATGAACCGAATAAGTGTCTGTGTCCCTTAGAATCTTTTGACAACAACGACGACATACATCTGTTTGACAATAAGCTTGTAAGTCTGTATGTGTTTGTATGTGTGTGAAGAGCGGATTCTAGACACATTTAGTCTCTTGCGGCTTTTTTTTGGACAAAACCTAAGCTCATTGCATACCGTCACAGTTTGTTTCTTTTTTTTGGAGCTTTTCATACATCAGAGCACCATTCTCCAACTCTCCCTTGTTTCCTCCATCTTCCATCTCTCTCTCTCTTTCTCTCTATATTGACAGTCCGACCATGCAAGGAGATGAGAAAGAAGACGAAAGAACCAATCTGAATCTAACGATTGAACTGAAAAAACTCTTCGTAAAACAATTTTTTTTATTTCAAATAGATGTTTTATGAAAAGTAAACATATCGCAAATAACTCTTAATCATAACATTTTTTTCTTCCTTTCCTCTCTCTGTCTTTCTCTCTCAGCGCTCTCTCTCTCTCATTACAGAATCCATGTGTAGGGGGGGAAGTGTCATATGAGGGGACCCATCTCCATCTACTGATAAACATACGATTCTTATGAATGATTCACCTGCCATCAGAAGATATCATACTCTTGGCCATTGAGCTGTGGGTGTATAGTTTTCAGTTCTCATTCATTCGATGGTATTGTGTGGTCGGTCATGAGGAAATGAACAAAGCTCATCATCATCTTGCAGTAGTTTTTTGTATTTCTCTTTCTCTCTCAAATCTTATCTTTCCGTTCTCAAACATCTTCATCGTTCTGCCAATTGCTCTTTTTGTTTTCGACCTTGAGGAAGAACTTTTTCCTTTGAAACCCTCTCGCTTTCTACAAGTGGTGAGGGCAGATGAGGGACGACGACCCTGTCTGTCAGGCCAATGCTATTCACACCAAACCCGGATTATCTGAAACTCTCTCTCTGTATTTCAACTTGATCCACGTTTGCTGTCATTCTTCTCATATGTCTCTTCGTTCCATCCGTTATTCTCAGTTTTTTTCATTCAGCACAGATATTTTATGTTGTTTTTCACACAATTTCCTCAAGGACTAAATGATGACTTAGGAATTTCATAAGAACTGTATGAACGAAACAATTATTTTTGTTTAACAACAATCGAGTCTCACCCAAAAACAGCTCGTATACCACGTTCACAGCTGTCTCTGTCTCCATCTCACCCTTCTTCCACCTGGCTTTTGCTATAAAAATTTCACTAATAACTTTATAAAAAAGAACTGCAAGACCATTTATACGTAACATCCATAGGAACATGCGTCCTTCATCTTCATGATTGAACATCATCAATTCATCAACTTTTTTCGTCTTTTCCCTCACTTGGTGTTTGATTTGTCGTCGTCCACCTGCTCATGTTTTGGCTAACAAATTATTGCGTTGGAGTATCATTTTGAAATCATTTATTCCTAAAAATTGAAAAATGATGAAATCAATGACTAAATCCTAAATACAACCACTCCTGACATCTCAAATGATTTAAAATGATTTTACGTTTTCCACGTCGTTCACGTCATCCTCCAAATTCAAATTAGCATTAATCGCAATAAGATAGTTGTTCGGGCATGAAATTCGCATTATAGCATTGTTTGACGTTGGTTTTTCAGATAAGAAAATGGATTTGGTTAGCGCTGAATTAGAAAATGGTGTCTACTTCAATGAATTTTCTAAAGAAAACAGTAAGTGTTCGTTTTAAATAACTGTAGTTCTTTCATTCTGTTCTTCTACGATGCATTCATTCTACTTTCCTTTCGTATTCATTATGTTGTAAATTGGCGATGTATAATCGAACTAGAAAAATCATTTGCATCCAGCTGACTTTGATCATTTTCGAGACTGGATCGAATGACGTGCGATGTGTTATTAGAGTGACCACCGTCTCGATGACTTAATTGGCTTCTTGTGTCCAAGACATGTCCATATTAAATCATATTTATTAGCTTACTGAACAGCAACAGTCATGTTCACGTTGACCGGTATCTCAATTGTTGAATGGTTGTGCGGTCAGATCTGTTCGGTGCCAATTATGGATAAAGGCTTACAAGACAACATAGTAAAGATAGAGAGGCATAGAGATAGATAGTTCAATTGAAAGAGAAGGTGAATGAATGAGATCAAATAGAATGGTCATGAGTAGGAAATGACGAGATAGTACATGTTATAGAGAGAGTTAGAGAAAAACAGAAAATATTAAGTGATTGAAGGAGAATATGGATAAACGTGGAGGTGGTTGCATGACCCTGAGGTGACCATATCGCTTTCAAAGTTCCGATCTCAACGTTACTTTTTTATATTTTATACTGTCATCTCATATTTGGAGATAGTGAGAGAAATGCTAGAAAGGTTTTCCGCTTGATACGTAGATGCTCATCTGCATGTGATGATTAGGTAATTTCATTCATTTTCAATCCAAATATGTGCATTTGTGAAGACACAATATGCAAATGAATGAAATGGCTTTCGAAAGTCGATAAAGTTGAAACATCGAATAGGATGAAGAGGAGTCAGAGATCAAAACGTTATTTGTAGTCACAGAAAGGCACAATATGATGAGTCAGTTAAGCTTGGTAGATGCAGAAGAGATGAAACTTGGTGCCAGAAGGCCCATCATCAACGTCGCTCATCCATGCTGGAAGATTTTCTCAGATTGAAATAATTGCTGTTAATTCAATTAGTACAGCTTCATGTTGATGTCTTTTGCAAAAACAAATATTTTGAAGAAAAATGAAAAAGAAATTGAATGCTCCATGCTCCAAACTATAAGCATATGAGTGGTTATCATGTGTTTCGTCTTCAAGAAGATGGTGTTACCAATTATTTTGTAATCCAATCCGTTACAATCATTTCATTGGCTGTTATTGTCGGTTCTCTCATTCAGTAAGAGAAACACTCAACTTATAAGCATCATGTAACCCCCTTCTCTCCTCCCTCTCTCTCTCTTTCTCTCTCCTTATACTACCATTATGAAGCCTCATATATAGATCTCCTTCCGGAACATGATCGTTTCCAAAAGCTTTACCGTCAACATCTGCGCAGCTTTAACATCCAATGAATTAGGTTTCCTTCACAAACTAGTCTCTTATATGCTAATAGGTAGACTTTGGTGTTCATCACCACCCGCTTTTTCTCACTTAGTCCCATCTCTCTCTCTCTCTCTACATCTCTCTCACCTCTCTCTCTACATCTCTCTCTCTCTTTCTCTCTTTGCGTTGAATCTATTTCTTTTCTTTGCGACTTTTAAACCTTAAAACTCCAACTTGGCCTTAAGCTGAATTTTAAATGCGCGTCTCCGACTTTTAAATTATTTTTGAGCTCACAAATATGCTTTTTCGGCTTCTCTTCTCGTTTTCCACTTCATTCATCATACAGTCAATTTCAATTTTTGCGAAATCTCAGTAGTCAGAGGGCTGACGGTCCGTCGGGAACCTCATAGTCATAAATGGCAAATTGAGCTGGCTCTACTCCCCCACCACCCTAATAGGCTTCTCTCATCAGGCTGACATCGTCATCTCGAGACATAGTCTGGACATAGCTGTTCCAATCATCCTCACACATCTGTCTTCGTCTTTCTATTGTGATCAATGGATTCATGAGCCAAACAGACCTCCCTTATACCCATTTGCATGCTTTTCCTTTTCCCTTTTTCCGATATTAAAGACGAGGAAAACGAATTGATTTTAGCGTCTTTTGCAAAACTCGCCATCATCATCGTTATACGTTATGAAATCAATTAATTAAACTCTCTGTTCATCTGAATCACCTAATACATTCTGACTTCTTCTCCTTCTTCGTCTTCGTCTTCGTCTTCTTCATCTCCTTCTTATACTTTTCTAAATTGTGAAATATAGAAGATGGTAAGATGCCCTTTTGTAAACAATAATCATACGTAGCATTCATGAAATCATTTTTACTTTTTCATTCTTTGTCATATTTTTTTCGATTAAACAGAAGCTCTTCTCATCCTCGTCGTCCATGATTCAACTTTCTTTTCACATTCTTTTGTTTTGTCGTTTTTGTCAGCTTTGCTGATTCCCCTAAACGACATCGTTACCCATCATCGTCTCATTCATGTTCTTATTCTATCGAACGATTTCTTCTTGAAAACTACATACACTTCTCTAACTATTCTGTCTGAATGATGTCCCAACCAACATCAACTTCATCAAGTCATGGCTTCCGACCATCTGATCGTCAACTTCAGATGAGCTCTAAGCAAGAAGTTACTTTTCCCGAAGAATGCCCGAGTAGCAAAATCAGGTTTGATGTTTATCATCATCATCATCATCATCATCATCAACATCATCATCAGAAAAATAAAATATTTACAATTGTGTGTGTATCAAGTTGAGCTTGCCTCAAATCGTAATAAGGTTTGAAATTGAATTTGACTTGAATGACGAAGACGACGTAGATCTTAGGTCATATTCATATTTCCGGAATCTTACAATACACAATAAAAACATTCAACACAACCTTTTTCCATCACTTTTTTTCTTCCAACAATTTCCTCCCATTTTCGGGTTCGACGGGATAGTGGCTATGTTCATGTGGCTGTTAAGTTTGACCGTTCGTCCGTTCCTAAACTGATTGATCGTCCATATATTCGCTCTTTACGAACTGGATCCATGTGTGGGTTTTCCGGTATTCCGAATCCGGAAATGTTTCCAATAATCTTGTTTTGCTTACAATTCTCCTGTGCCGCTTGCCTTTCTATACTCAGTTTTCTTAGTTCTTTGAACATTTCAAGCTGCTTTATAAAATAGTTTGTTTAATAAGATAGTGAACGTGTTTGAATTTCAGTCATGTCCGAAGAGCACGTAATGGAAAATTCATCTGAGGCACCAATTGTAGAAGAAGAAGGTATTAGTTTGTTGTGAAATGTTCTGAAGAGTAAGTTGTTATTGACAGATATAAGTATTCCGGAAGTTCTCCAAGAAAGTGACGTCGAGCAATTCGGAATAGCAAAAGACGAGAATGAGGAAAGCTCTATTGCACCTGAAGTGGAAAGTGTGAAGAAAGTTGTCTCATTTGATGATGCTCAAGAGAATATTCACATCAGCTCCATTCATTTTGATAAAGAAGTTGCTATTGAGACAGAAGTAGAGAGAGTTCGCCATGACATCTCAATGGTTGATACGTCATCAGAGATT